ACAGAGGTCTCAGTTCTATCCTTACAGAAGGCATGAGCAATGAAATACTGCTCCATGAAGAATGAACACCTCAGGAACCACCACACACTTTATTGGGTAACTCCATGTTCTGATTCTAGATCTCCAGTGTAGTGATAAGGGTTATAGTTTGGAAAGCTGGAGGCATCTACATGTGCACTTTACTGCAGAGTTGACTACTTAGCTCTGCAGTAAAACATCATGATCTACAAGTGCAGCACTATTAGTCCAGAGTAAACTAATTAGCTCCACCATAGGACATTACTGCCCAACACAAGTACTATCCTATGGCAGAGTTATTTATTCCACCACAACAAACATGTAGACAGTGACCAGGACTAGCTGGGGCATGAGGGTATTTCAGTGCAGGGGCTGCCTGCTGGCTAACCCTGCACTGCAGCACCCTTGTGCACCAGCCAGCCTGTCCACAGCACACTGAGCTAGGGTGGAGCAGCTCCAGCCTGGCAAGCTGACCTTCAGGGCCCTCTGCCGGGCAGGGCTGTACCGTCCTGGCTCAACATGCTGGAGTCCCAGGTGCATGTGTAAAAGCTGCACACAGGAGCAATAAACTCTGGTGCAAACTCTGCTGGAGTTTATTGCATCACATTAATAGCACATGTAGATACTTCTGCTGGGAATTAGGAGATAGTCCCTCACTATCTGAGGCCAAGGGTTTGCAGAAGTTGTTTACTACTCCAGAATAAAACCTGTTGTGTAGCTCTTCTTAGTCATGTATATCTGTATTTACTGAATCTGGTGATCACTATATGCAGGATCTCATTTTTCAGTACAGTGACCTATTCATAGAGTGGCTCCTCTGATTGATGATAATTGATTTTAAAAGTGGATATAGACTATAACAAAATGTTGTAAATGCTAGAGATGAGGATACATTCAGAGGGATCTTAACTGAAATGGTTGCCTAAATAGGTATCGTCTAAGTGACAGCTCCACCAGAAACGTTTGCTGAGATAAATTAGACAACTGCTAAACATATACAAAGCAGGCCTCTGCTGAAGATGTAGTCTCAGTGTGAGGCTCAAAAGAGCTAAACAGAGAACTTGACAGGTAAAAATAACAATAATAAAAATTAATATAGTTTAGGTGTCCCACTGCTTTTCACCCTCCACTGAAGAGGCTGATGCCCTCAAGATCTGCTTATTTGTTCCAGTATGACACTTCCTTTAGCTTTGATGTGCTGAACTATTTTACCCTATAGTTCAAGACATTAACTTACAATATCATACAGTAATGTTAAAGTTATTAATTTCAAACCTCAGTAGTCAGAAAATGCAAAAAGTAAGGCTGAACCAATTATCCTTCTCTGATGATTGGTATATGGGCCTTGTAGCAGTCTCACTATATCGCCATACACTATTTCTCAAAAATGAAGTAGCATCCGTATTTTTTACTATGACCTTGCAATATAGCTGTTTAAGACAACATGAGATTTCCATCTGGGCTAGTCACTTTCTACAGACCAAGCTTTATCTGTGCACAAGAAAGCTATGACAGTTCAGGGGAAATACCTCGATCCTCCATCAGCAAGTCAACACAAAAGTAATTAAATGGGTCTTGCCAACTTTTCTCGTCCCCATAGCATTCACAAAATCATACAGCAATCTATATAATAGCAAAAGACATTCATATATTTTTCTAGCCCTTTGCTCCCATGGCCTAGGGAAGTATATCTGTAGTGGTGTCTGCCCTGCAAAAGCTTATCTTCCCATCTTTCATGCACTCAAAACAACCAAGGGAGCACTTTTTCTGTGACACCTTCCTGAAGCCATCAGTAGGCCCCCCAATATCTCAGATCCAACCCAGCTGGTCAGGCTCAGGAAAAGATATTACCAAAAGGAGCGAAAAAGAATGAGGTAGAAGAGAGGAAAAGAAAGATAGAGGGGAAGGGGAAAGGGGAAAGCTGGAAAAGAGGGCCCAAAACTTTCTAGACCCCAACCACTGTGCACAAAAATAGACCTATCATCCCTAATACTTGCCCTAATTAGCCTTATATCTGTGATCTGTGAATCCCTTCCAAAACTGGAAACTTGTTAAAAGGCATATTTCTTTGATTCAACTCCGTAATCAGCTGGCAATCTTTGTAAGAGCAGTGAAATGCACAGTGAAGATAAAGATAAAGATAAATGCCACAAGCCATGGGGACAGAATTTTCTTCTCTGCATTGAAAAAATGTTGCTCACAAAAAGCCATATTTTAAGCAATATTCTTCCCATAACCCTGGAGAAAAGACCATTTTCACTCATTTGCCTAGCCTGGGAAATCTTCTACCCACAGCTTCCCTCTTTCCCTAACCATCCCAAGCACATTTTGTTAATGATATACTGTGGCAGCAACACTGATCTGTTACTAAAGATCTGGAGTAGGAAGCCCAAAATAATCACAGTGAACCTAGGGGTATTCATAAATCACTGTTTTATACTAATACATTTTAGACAAAGCACAGCAAATACAAATCAGATGTGAAATTCCCCTGAGTTCTACATTTCCAATAGATCATGGCCGTTTAATTATCTCCTGTTTCGTATTACATTTCTTAAAAAATGACTTTAAAAGCATACTATTCTACTGATGCATATAGTATAGCATTTTTCAGGCCATAAGAATTTGCTTTTCAGACAGGATAATGTAAACATCATTGCTTTAAGACTTCTACTTGTGTCACTGTGGAATACACTACATGGTATTTGTCTTGTCAATGCTCCAACTTCCAAGTTTGAAAAAAGCAAAACTCAACACATTTTCTGCATTAAGAAAAATGCCCAAGAAAATGATCTCTCCATATTAAGCCAGTGTTACACAAATCTCAAGCTTGTGAAAAAGGCCGCTTATGCCTCAGTTCAGCATTCTTCTAACATAACTGTCTCATGAGACGCCAAATTACAAAATACTAAGTGGTTCTGCTTTTGGCTCCATTAATGATATGCACTGTGACACCTGAAAATCCAAGGCATATTTTCTTTATTTCACTTTCCCCATAAGTAATGCCACAGGTGTGTGATGCTTGCTTTATTAATACCTGTTACATGGTGAAATCATCTCTGTATAGCCAATACTATAGAAAAGCAAAAAACCATTATCAGTCTCCTTTACATGTAACATCTGTTCACTCTGAGGACATCTGTGGAAAGATGTCACTGCTGCAGACTCTGATTGTCAGAGCCACATACAGAGGTGAAGCTCAAGCAGTGAGGCCTTTGTTTTCCACCAGGCATTCAGAATGGTAAAAGCAGATCTAGCCTGGAAAGTCTTACCTATGCTATACTTACCACCGCTGCTAGTAGCATTGGTCATCTTACCAATATAATAGCTATTTATAAATGTCTTAAAACTAAACATAATCTAAGGCCAAGTAAAAATGTTCGAAGAAAAATAGTTGGCCAGTACTTCTAGTGACAAAAAAAAAAAAAAAAATCAAGAGAAAACAGGGGAGGAAATTTATGTTCGTTTAATCCTTCTATTTTCGATTTACCATTGTTAGTAAGTTTTCTCTTTCTTCCAGTAAAATCCCAGAAGCAGAACTAGGAATTCCATGAGACATAAATGATGCTGGCGTGTAGAAATAAAGGGTCCTAACAATCAATGCACTCCAGAATTTATATATTTATAGGTCCCTCCATGGAAAGCTCTGTGAAACCCTCTAGTCCTCTATGCATGGTAAGATCTCAACATGAAAGCAGGGTGCCTTTGTTGTTAAAAATATTTTAGTTATAAAAGGAGCTGGAAATAGCTTTAGCGCATCCTGTCCATTCTGAAATAATCACATTAGGGAAACTTTCTTGGCTCAAGGTTACTTGTTTGTCCTTTATAATCAACACACTTGTTCGGCTTTTCCTTTGTAAGGCCTCCCCTGTTTCGTGCACTCAGCAAACATTCAGTAGGTTCCCATCTCATTAAAATGACATCTCCTCTTACATTCCCCAAAACAGTTAGAACTACTGCAAGAACAGTCCCTTATCAACTGTTGTTTCTGTTTCCAGTTTCAAACACAACAAAACAGATTCAGGGAAAAGTCAATGAAAATTTTAAAAACTGAACCAAATTTTTTGCCACTTCAATTCATGCTCTTTTAGCATTTGAATGAAGTCTAAAGTAATTTCTTTAACGGTGTAAACTATTTCTCTCTCAGTTGTGAATTTTGACTAAGGGAAAAACCTCACCTTTAACGTACTATTCAGCACCCGTATTTTGTGAAGTTTCTCATTAATGCAGGGGTTTTTGCTTCTTTTGATGAAGGACTTTCTAAGTTCTTTTTTGGTTGAAGGACGACGGTCTCCAATAGGTGACAAACTTGCTTGTTCTAATGATTTGTAAAGTCGCTCCATTTCATCATTGTCACAGCATTTTGCCCGATCTATAAAAAAAGAAAGAGAAGGAAGATGAGAATATGAATGTGACAGCACATTACAGTGATACTGGATTCAACTGATAGAAAAGATCCTAACAAATTAATGACCATATTGTCAGAAACAAAATCAAGGACAATTTTGCAGTGACATTTTACATTAAAAATAATAATAAAGTAATTATTAATAATATAGTAATTACATATATGAGAAAAACACATTTAAAAATGTATTCTGAGATTGATACTGCTAGCTTGTGTCTCACTAATCACCCATATATTGCTTGAAGTGAAGAACTAGCTTAATGTTCCAAACACATGTATGCATCTATCATCCAACTCTGAACGAAAGGCATTAATAGTAACTTTGAGCAAGAACAGTTTTGATAGCAACAGCATCCATCTTCTCTTTCACTCCAAACTTTAGCCCTCTCTTTGAAAACTACTTCCACTGATCTCAATTGATCTGTGCTTATTAGATCAAATATGATTGATACATCAGCACCTCTGAATTTTTTGGTTGTTTTTATACACCAAACAAAAAGAATATTTTGCTTGAGGAAACTAAGGACCAGGACATTTCAGATGTCCCAAAACAAAATAACATGATGCTGGGAGAAAGTATGAACAATTGGGTCATATGGCCATTTTACACATAGCTGCCGAGTTTCACAGACTTATTCTGGCACTTAATTCTTCATGGACTAGCACATGATTTTTTGTTTGTTTCTTTCTGTTCTAATTATTCCTTTCAATTATTTTATCTCCATCACCATTTTCCTTTATAAGGAATGTGAGGGGATGAAGAGAGAGAGAGAGATGCTGGGAATTAAGAAAAATGATAGGCTAAAAGCTACATTAGCTGATCTATACAATTTCAAAGAAATTTCAAAATTTCAAAGAAATATTTCCAGTACCCACCACTCCTGGCTGCAGACAACCCTCTAACATTGTGCAGCTCATCATAAGAAGTAAACTCCCTACTGATCAACAGGCACCTACTGGGACCCTACCCTGTCTTAACAATAAATGCAAGACCTATTGACACATCTCTACTGCCATAACAATCAACATTCCCCAAAATTAAACCATCAGAATCAATGGATCATACATCTGAACTTGGTATACCTCATCTAGTATGCCAAATGTCCCCATGGAAACCATGTAGCTGAAACCAGACAAAAACTACACACCAGAATGAACGATCGCCAAATGATAAATGACAGAGACACTAGAAAACAGACAGAACATTTGTCTCAGAAGAATCATCCCCTATCACAGCTCAATGGAAATTTACAAAACCCCTTCAAAAGATGAGCCTGGGAACAAAGATGCATTAGCCTATTGGAGTGTAAAAACCAGAGACTTCATCATCCATTAGACTTCCTTGTGATACTCGCTAAATCTCTGCACTTCACAGAGGATAATGACTTCCTAAACAATTTTGCTCCCCCACGTAGAAGATTTTTACTGCATCTCTCTTGTCTGTTGGCTGCCTGATAAATTCTCTTATATCTGTTTTTATTTACATGTGGAGTTTTACACAAGCCCTTGGTCCATCTACGGTTTAGCTCTGCTGTGCCTGTTTTTCTTTCCGAGAGCCAAGGAAGAGTACTGTGATACCTGAAAGCTTGTTTATGTCTCTCCCAAACATGCAGTTGGTCTAATAAAGGATGCGCACACAAAGAGTCTCACCTCTTGCATATTTCCTAGACCATCACAGGTGCAACATCACTTTGGGTACCTATGTGCGTGGTCCTTTGTGTTCTCATTAGAACACTGCAGTGATGCCGCGCTATCCCATGTATTAAGCCCCTATATGCTTTAAAATGACTGTGAAGTGTTTTAACTAAGCAATGTTTAGATAAAGCATCCCATGGCCATTTTAAAAAGTACAGGGGCTTAATACATGTGACGTGGGTGCATCTACACATGCACTTTAATATGCATTAACCTATTTTAATATGCATTAAACGCATCACTAAAAAACCATGGGACAGTTATTCACACACCTTTTCATCCCACGATGCACTGCCATATGCAGTTGTATAAGTGGCAAAAAGCACCTTCTATGTGTTTTAGTTCAAAAGTGCACCACCACCATTTTCTCAGTGCTGACATGCATTTTGCTGCTTATACAACTGGAAGTGACGCAGTGCCAGGTGCTTTTCAAAGCACCTGGCACTGCAGCATTTACTTGTGTAAAAATGCCCATACTTTCTGGTTAATGCACATTAAGACAGACTAATGCGTATTTTCCTTGTACCTTACAACAGAGGACATTTTTACATGTGGCCCTGACATGACACCGGGTGCTTTTAATTAGCAAGCTGCACTAATTAAAAGTGCACATGCACTGCATGCATTAGTGGTGCAGCATGTCCCCGAGCTGAGAAAAAGGTGGCAGTGTCCTTTGAACTAAAGCACATTGAACATGTTTTAGTTCAAAGCACACCACCTCCATTTTTTCAGAGTGAAGGCACACTGCACAGCTGATACACATGACATGCAAGGGTGCCAGAGCGCATCAATTTACATGCACTGCATTTCCCACATGTGTGTAAGTGCCCAGGGGTACTAGATTTAATACACATTAATTAAAGCACATTAATGCATGTGTAGACATGCTGCTGTGGCATTTTAATTAGAGTGGTTGCCCAGGAACTTCTCTAATTAAAATGTCCTCCTCCCCCCTACCTCCAAGCATACATATAGGCAGCCTTTGACACTAGCAAATTTCAAAGAAACCATTTAATATGAAGATGCTAGAAGTAATAATTATCAGATTGAAATGGAGGAACCCTGACTGTGGAATTCAGTTTCTCTGTAACTCTGATAAGGCAAGACTTTTCTATCCAGTAAAGTCTAAACTATGAGCTTATCTAGGCCAAACTATCTTTTCATAAAAACCTTTAGTTTAATGTTTCCTTTGGAGTGACAGTGGAAGCATTGCATACAATATCATGATACAGCATATCATGATTGTATGACAGGCTTCTTGGGTGGCTATTGCCATAAAAAGCAGCATTATGGGACACTAAAGTTTAGGCCACCAGGAAAGATTTAGTTTTAAGAATATCTGTGTAATGTTCTCCTGTAGCACTCACGACAATGTCTTCTATGGCCCTATTTCAGAACTCCTTGATATGCATAGGAATCTCTCCATTGACTTAGATCAGGCATGAAATACTGAAGTATTATAAAAAGATCTGTAGGGGACATTATACTGAATCCTACTGTTTACTTTCTAATAGCACTACTTCCTTCTTCAACATGCCTTTTAGTAGGAGAACTCCAGCTTTCTGGTAAATTATTTGTTGTGTGTTTGCATTTCTCAAAGGCACACATGTGGTATCAAGCATTTTTACATTACTCTGAAAATATAAACAGGCTGCCTGTGCCTTGACTGGAACTAAATATAACTTATGGCTTTGATACAATACTGGGAGGGGAAAGCAAGTGGTGTATATTTAACAAGCTACAGGAAACAGGAAAAAATGTCCGTGTTAGGCAAAATACATGGCAGCAATATTTCCTGAAAATGTCTGGCTCATACCATGAGTCTCATAATTATAGCTAGGTTTCTTCCTATTTGCTTTGGCAGAAACAGCTGTATTTGGTCCATAAGCTGATTCCTACCCATGGAAAAGCTGTTAACAGTATTAATGGCCTACATCAGGATCTCAAATGCAATATTCAGTTTAAGAATGAAACCACCATTACTCTGATGTCTGAAAAATAGCAGGGAAGGGGAAAGGAGATTGAATTTTAATTAGTCTTATACACCAATCCAAAATTTACTAGTCAAGAAGGACTGGATGGGACTTTCTTTTGGAGCTAATTAATAGTGCTGCCCAATGCTCTGTAGGGGTCTCTGAGGATCAGGAAACATTCCAGCCTCAACATATTTCCTCCATCTTCTACGTATTAATGTTTTAGGGTGCATAATTCACATTCTTTAAAAAAAATGTATGGCTGGGATTAGGTGACCATACAGGCCAAGCAGCCAGTTTTCAAGCTCTTTGATCAAATATTCAACTTCCCCTTCCCAACAACAAGTTATTCCTGAGAAATATTCTCAGTTTACTAAAACACTCATCTAAATATAGGCCAAAGGAGTGGGACTCTATTTATTTGGGAGCTGCTATGACAGTGCAGTGATGAAAGTTCACAATTTAATTAAATTCGTTCACAAAGTAAGCTGGAGCTTACAGCCAGAAGGAAACATGAAACAATGTGGCATTGCTTCCTGTATTTCAGAGGTCATTACATTAAACCCATTATCCCTGGATCAAGCCTAGTAACTTGTGTTCTCATGCTCATTGCTGTCAAGCGTTGGCCTCAAACCTGGGGCCAGCACAGCCACTCAATTCAGCCTGCCACCCTACAGCTGACCGCCCAGATTGGCAAGGCTGGCCTGAAGCTTCCATCAAGACCTAGCCATCCACCCACTCCTTGTCACTGGAGTGGCCAGTCAGGGTCAGCTGACTCTCCACTTCCCCCTTTAAGCTCCTGAGTGGGAACAAGAAGCATCTGGGCAACAGGGTTCAATCTGACTCTATGCTGCTTTGCTGTTCCCTACAGCTTTCTCTCTGCCTCTGCTCTCTAATTTCCTGGCTTCCTGACTTGGCTTCTTCCCTAAATGCTGCTATCAAACTGACCTCCTGGCTTCCTGACCTGGCTTGTCCTTGGATTCTGCTCATTCCTTCTGACCCTGGTCAGCACCTCGGTCCCTGAGTGGCCCTAGGCCTGGTCACCTATAACCTAGTGTGACCATGGCCTTCTTTCTCAATTTAAATCTTATGTGGTAAATAGGAGGGGATTCCCAATGGCACCCTCAGTAAACAAGTGACCAGGGCTTCTGGGTCAGTTCAGTATATTGAAGTGAATTTCTGAATGCTTTCAAAAAAAAAATTGTTTTTTTCCCCCTCAAAAACGTGTCAAAGTCAAATATATTTATGATGTATGAAGTTATTTTGCTCAGGTGAATCAAGGCAGAAAAAGTGTAG